AACACTGTTACAGTATAACAAACAATAGCCCAACTTTATACAACACTGTTACAGTATCATATATAATGACCCAACTTTATACAACACTGTTACAGTATAACAAACAATAGTCCAACTTTATACAACACTGTTACAGTATGACAAACAATAGCCCAACTTTATACAACACTGTTACAGTATGACAAACAATAGCCCAACTTTATAAAACACTGTTACAGTATGACAAACAATAGCCCAACTTTATACAACACTGTTACAGTATGACAAACAATGGCCCAACTTTATACAACACTGTTATAGTATGACAAACAATAGCCCAACTTTATACAACACTGTTACAGTATAACAAACAATAGTCCAACTTTATACAACACTGTTACAGTATGACAAACAATAGCCCAACTTTATACAACACTGTTACAGTATGACAAACAATAGCCCAACTTTATACAACACTGTTACAGTATGACAAACAATGGCCCAACGTTATACAACACTGTTACAGTATGACAAACAATGGCCCAACGTTATACAACACTGTTACAGAATTACAAACATTGGCCCAATTTATACAATAAGCGTCCCAGCCTTCTTGGACTTATTAGTAGTTCAACCTTACACAAGAGTGATACAGCCTTATTTAACATCTTTTATTACTTCAAACAACAGTATCAAAATCTAATATCACAATGACACAGCACTATACAACATCATAGTAACACAACCTTAAACGTGGATGCCTAAATCTTATACAACAATGACCCAGTCTTAAACAACAGTATCGCAATCTCAAACAACAGTGTCCCAACCTTATACAACAGTATCACAACCTGATACAACAGTATCACAACTTTATACAACTGTGTCCCAACCTTATACAACAATGTCAAAACCTTATACAACAGTGTCACAACTTTATACAACAGTGTCCCAACAGTGTCACAACTTTTTTACAACAGCGTCACAACCTTTTACAACAGTGTCACAACATTATACAACAGTGTCACAACCTGATACAACAGTATCACAACCTTATACAACTGTGTTCAAACCTTATACAACACTGTCACAACCTTATACAACAGTGTCACAACTTTATACAACAGTGTCCCAACAGTGTCTCAACTTTTTTACAACAGTGTCACAACCTTATTCAACAGTGTCACAACCTTATACAACAGTGTCACAACCTTATACAACACTGTCACAACATTATACAACAGTACCACAACCTTATAAATCAGTATCACAACCTTATACAACAATATTCCTATACAGCAATGATATAACAGGGTTACAGTATAACATATCTACACAACACAGACATTCTTATACAGCAATGATAAAACAGGGTTACAGTATTACATATCTACACAACACAGACATTCTTATACAGCAATGATATAACAGGGTTACAGTATAACATACAGAGACACAAAACAGACATTCTTATACAGCAGTGATATAACAGGGTTACAGTATAACATACAGACACAACGCAGACATTCTTATACAGCAACGATATAACAGGGTTACAGTATAACATACAGAGACACAAAACAGACATTCGTATACAGCAACGATATAACAGGGTTACAGTAGAACATACAGAGACACAAAACAGACATTCTTATACAGCAATGATATAACAGGGTTACAGTATAACATACAGAGACACAACGCAGACATTCTTATACAGCAACGATATAACAGGGTTACAGTATAACATACAGAGACACAAAACAGACATTCGTATACAGCAACGATATAACAGGGTTACAGTATAATATACAGAGACACAAAACAGACATTCTTATACAGCAATGATATAACAGGGTTACAGTATAACATACAGAGACACAACGCAGACATTCTTATACAGCAACGATATAACAGGGTTACAGTATAACATACAGAGACACAAAACAGACATTCGTATACAGCAACGATATAACAGGGTTACATTATAACATACAGAGACACAACACAGATATTATCATACAGCAACGATATAACAGGGTTACAGTATAACATATCTACACAACACAGACATTCTTATACAGCAATGATATTACAGGGTTACAGTATAACATACAGAGACACAACACAGACATTCTTATACAGCAACGATATAACAGGGTTACAGTATAACATATCTACACAACACAGACATTCTTATACAGCAATGATATAACAGGGTTACAGTATAACATACAGAGACACAACACAGACATTCTTATACAGCAATGATATAACAGGGTTACAGTATAACATATCTACACAACACAGACATTCTTATACAGCAGTGATATAACAGGGTTACAGTATAACATACAGATACACAACACAGACATTCTTATACAGCAGTGATATTACAGGGTTACAGTATAACATATCTACACAACACAGACATTCTTATACAGCAGTGATATAACAGGGTTACAGTATAACATATCTACACAACACAGACATTCTTATACAGCAGTGATATAACAGGGTTACAGTATAACATATCTACACAACACAGACATTCTTATACAGCAATGATATAACAGGGTTACAGTATAACATACAGATACACAACACAGACATTCTTATACAGCAACGATATAACAGGGTTACAGTATAACATACAGAGACACAACACAGACATTCTTATACAGCAGTGATATAACAGGGTTACAGTATAACATACAGAGACACAACACAGACATTCTTATACAACAACGATATAACAGGGTTACAGTATAACATATCTACACAACACATACATTCTTATACAGCAGTGATATAACAGGGTTACAGTATAACAAACAGAGACACAACACAGACATTCTCATACAGCAATGATATAACAGGGTTACAGTATAACATACAGAGACACAACAGAGACATTCTTATACAGCAGTGATATAACAGGGTTACAGTATAACATATCTACACAACACAGACATTCTTATACAGCAACGATATAACAGGGTTACAGTATAACATACAGAGACACAACGCAGACATTCTTATACAGCAGTGATATAACAGGGTTACAGTATAACATACAAAGACTATGACATATAATAACAGTGATACCAGCATTGATCATGAAACGCTAGTTAAGGTTATATAAAGACGCACGATTGAATAGCACCTTTAGATACAGATTTAGAGTTAGATACAGCAGAGCCAAACAATGATGCTACATCATACATCTATTTTGTCCTTCTAGGACTCGTCAGTGATCCTACATCATACAACTGTTTCCTCCTTCTAGGACTCGTCAGTGATCCTACATAATTTAGCTGTTTCGTCCTTCTAGGACTCGTTAATGATCCTACATAATATAGTTGTTTCGTCCTTCTATGACTCGTCAGGAATCCTACATAATATAGTTGTTTCGTCCTTCGACTCGTCAAAGCCTTAAACGACTTCGTGATGAAAGCAATCTATACATCTGCAGACATTTACGATCTATAGTATTTTAACTGCTGTGCTTCATAGCGTTGTCTCTTCTAAACTGCTAAAAGAGGTCACATTATTGAAGATGTCCAACTCAGCTGATGTATTTGAAGCACAAATATAAAGGCAAAACAATACCCAAATGTACTAAAAGACAGAGTGTGTTATGGTATCATAGTTTGTATACGAAACGAAAACACTTTTCTTTCTTCATGAATGTTGACGTTTAAACCTGCCTGGTTTTTCTGTGACAGTAGTCAGCTATTTATGTCTTACTCAATACACCGCCTGGCTGCTTCACTTTGCACATTACTTCGTTGATGTATGTAAATCGTACAAAACGAGATAGTATTTTAGACAAAAACGTGGCCTGCACAATATCTCTGCAAATCACCGGGAATAAGTCTGATTACGTTTCTACATGTATGAGGGAAATAGTTTATGGGTTAAATGTAATACGGGACATCTCGTCCCAGGAGTCCCCCTCCCAAGTAGACGAGTGCTTGCCGTACAGTTACTCAATGCATAACAATTTGTTGCTATCGTAAATCAGTTAGGAAACTTCTAATGAATATCATACATACAGTTTATCACTCCTCCTACACCATTCTCTACGCCTTCGCAATGAACTTGTCTAATGACAACAAAACTCTGCCATCTATGAATTTTAAGTAGAACTGCTGAACTGGTGAGCTTGTTTTGGTGTGTATCTCCAGCACGTAATATTTGGAAGCAGCGCTAACGACTACTTAAACCCGACACAACATTGTAGTGACACGCATGTCAATGGTACACTCGATATAATGTATATTCATTGTCCTTATTACTTTCAGTGTTACTGTGATGCCATAGCCAGGGATGAACCCAGTCGGAAGAGGAAATGAACTCAGCCACGTGTAAAGCTACACCACGGCCAAGATTTGAAAAAGTGGCAGAGTAAAATGTCAACGGATTTAGCTGCAGTATTAAGCGTATTCTGAGAAACAACGGGAGTGTATTGGTAAAAGCAGTCGGTATATTCCGGTCAAGATGGGGACAAGTGGTACCAGATAGAAGTATGCACTGTGACATAACATCAATTTGTCTGCTCTATCATAGTAGTTGGAAGAATACCTATGTTGACCTAGGTTAATCAGGGACTTTCATATGAACTGTAATCTACTTTTCAAACCGTAAACGGAATTTTATCCATGGAAGCTTCAAGTTGATATTCATATCTTATTGAGCAGCAAATGCCTAAGATACCCCCACTATAATTGGAGTCACTTTTGGCACCTGTACCGGAAGTAAGATTAACATCATATGAGCATTCATAGGCATCGTTGTGGGTTACCGTGGAGAAGGAAAAGAGAACTTTTCTATCAATATGTAATTATATACTAACGCAAGATATATTGTAGAAACATTCCAAAAGATATATGTATAAAAGCCTATCTAGATTGAAAAGTGATAGAAGCAGCCCTTGTCAGTGTTAGTGTGTTCTCAGTCGTCGTGGTTGGATCTCACGGAATCGAATCTTAAGTGTTATATATTAAGTACAAAACAACATGAATTTCGCGGGATCTGGCAATGTTCTTCACTTCGTTTTTTGGAGTGTGATATGGATGTTAGGGACATCTCCGACTGTATTCGTTAATTCCCAAAGACCAACACTGGGACTTCGAATATTGATGCCGAATTTGATAAAAATGCAAGAACCTGTTAGGAAAGCCATCCGAATGGTTCAATATAACTCCTTACGTCGACGACAAATACGGTCACTCAAATTAGACATTCAGAAATCGGAAATTGGTGACAACCCATCGGAGATATTTGATTTGTTTTGCTCCAATATTTTGCCAAAGCAGGTGAACACTGTACTATATTTGACGTTAAAGGACGACTCGAAGTTCCTTCGTCTCACGGATTATATGACCAATATCATTCATGATTTAGGACTGCCCCTGCTGTCGTGGAACCCGTACCTAACCGGATCGGTACAGGTAAGTCTATTATACTATAATAATACCACGACTTTCAGGTACTAAAGGCAGGGAGAATGTCTAGGTTTTACTTACTTTGAAAAGCAAACCTATGATAATAACATAAAACACAATTTGTAGGAGAACCACTTACTGTCTCCTGTTTACCGATATTTCTGTATGCGAAGATGCCGTTTTTTTCTGACGTCTAGACGGTTCACATCAATGTGCATTCACCACAAGACATGCTGCATGTTTCGTATTTCAGATAAGATAAAAGAAAATTATGATAAATAATGTTTTATATGTCATCAAAAGATACGGGTAGATGGTACATGATATCTAATTTTTCGTAATATTGTATTTCTCGCTAGATATTTATATGTATCGGAATACATACCCCAGATATCCCTCTCTCAGAAAATGCTGGTTAAAATCGAAAATGAAATATGCGGCTTGTTGGAGTTGCACGTGACCAGGCCTTTAGGGTCATGTAATGTCAGCGATTTGTCAGGTATAAAGCATGATTCTCTTATGGTGGTAATCATTGTCAAGTTATTTTAAGATTAGTTGAACAAAGTGTTTGTGTTGTTTTAAAAACCGTGCGAGATGAAAATAGACCAGTTACAAATTACATCACCGTGGCCTACTTTATCAGATTTTGATGGTTTTTCTCCAACTTACTAGGAATATTCAAATAAAAACTTTTCAGAACGTTTACAATATTTTTTTTTACATTTTAAACCCCCACTTTGACCCATATATTTTCCTTGGGCCTACACAAAATCTGATGGTTCGAATAGCTTTCGATATGCAGCTATCTTTAAAATGTCTTTCCGAAAAATGATAGCAATAATATTAAAATTAATGAACTTATGAATGAATGACTGCGGAATTTCCCCAATTGGTAACACTCATTTGTAGATTATTTGGCTAGGGTTAAACTGATTTGCAAGATTTAAGGTTGAAAACAGAAAATTTAAAAAAGAAAAAATCAATCCCACAGAGATGTTTGAAATTTATGTCAATGTAAAATAAAGGATGGCGAGACAAGCCTCTATGAACGGGACTACATTACAATTGTTATTCACTTTCATAAATATCGTGTAAGGAAATCTTTCCCATGCATAAATCCTCACATAAAGATACAAAAAAGGCATCATAAAAATGATTATACGTTTATTTCAAAGACAACGACGAATTGCATAGGGGATAGCGGTTTCACGAAACATTGAAGACTACGTCTATAAGTACTTTGCTAGTGGCTTACAACACGCGCACTGTTACACATTAAGGAATACTCAAAATCATTATCCTAAAAGCAATACCATTATAATATCTTAATTTCAGATCGTATGAACAGTTGATAATGATTCATATGTGAAACAATATAGTAAGTTTAGAGCAATAGACATCAAGTTACAGGAATGATTCCGTCCGGTTTGACGTATAAATACGTCTGCATTATGTCCAAACAGTTTAAATGTACTGTAAATGATATAGTTATCATCATCCTTCTTCGAATAAATGTTTAGTATCTTAACACTTAGCATGTGTGTAGACTTAGTTCCTAATATTATTACATCCGTGGATATCAAATTGGTATCAATGGAACATGGTCAGCAATCCAAATATTGAAACAAGACACGAAAAACTGTTAAAATTATCTCGGAAGATTTTTTTGCAGATTTACTGGATGTCTCTTATGTTAGTCAAGTCCCGTAGAGGACGAGATGTTCTGATCCACTAGGTGGCGCTGTTTAGTGTCTGACAGGACAACCTCACGGGATTACATTCTGATAGGAGGAAGCTTTTCTGGCAACAAACTTGACTGCAAACTGCTCGGTCGATATTCATAAAAAGCTCAATATGTCCTTATTCCAGAATCTTGTAAGCGGGTCGTATTCTTTACTGACCGAAACAGCCACGTGGTGATATATAATGCAAAACATGGTAAATCTTGAGGGACGCACAAGTTATGGGTGCGTGTAAGGCTAGTGATGGTATGGTCTTCACATGTCTCCACTGGGACAGGAAGTCTTAAGAACAACGTGATATGCTGTCAGGAAACATCCCTGACATTCGCGCGAACATTTTTTCTGACGAGAGGAAACATATCACTATAACACGGATTACTTTTTTTCATAATATTTTTAAATAATTTTTGATGGAAATTGGAATTTCAGGAATAAAAATCGGTCATAGAAATAAAAAAAATAATGGAGCTTGATCAGTATGATTCCATGAATGACATTGCCCGACGTGATTCTTCTCTACGTTTTAAACGTATTGACAGAACTGTTTTCCCTGTCTTCAGATGACCTGCTGGACATTTTCAGACTTCAGAATTCAGTAAGAATATTATTATTATTTCGAGGTAGATAACTTTATTCTGATGTATTCATAAATACTTGTGATGTCTTTGGTTTATGTCTAAATGAGAGCTGTATGTTCGATGATTAATGTTAAAAATGATCTATATCGAGATTAAAAATTTGACTGTTTGACTGTTGTTCATTGTTGGAGAATTTTAATGTTAATAGTTACAGGAGTGACGTTTTGGGTTTAAGATTTTTGGGAACTGTTATTTTCTAATTTTGGATGTTTGAAAGCTGTTATTTAGAGGATTTGGTGATTGAGGGCTGCTTTTTGGAGGTTTCTTCCTTGAGAGTTGTTGTTCGAGGTTTGGTGTGAGAGCTGTTATACGAGGTTTGGTGTGAGAGAGCTGTTGTTCGAGGTTTGGTGTGAGAGCTGTTGTTCGAGGTTTGGTGTGAGAGAGTTGTTGTTCGAGGTTTGGTGTGAGAGAGCTGTTATACGAGGTTTGTTGTGAGAGAGTTGTTGTTCGAGGTTTGGTGTGAGAGCTGTTGTTCGAGGTTTGGTGTGAGAGCTGTTGTTCGAGGTTTGGTGTGAGAGAGCTGTTGTTCGAGGTTTGGTGTGAGAGCTGTTATTTGAGGTTTGGTGTGAGAGCTGTTGTTCGAGGTTTGGTGTGAGAGAGTTGTTGTTCGAGGTTTGGTGTGAGAGCTGTTATACGAGGTTTGTTGTGAGAGAGCTGTTGTTCGAGGTTTGGTATGAGAGAGTTGTTATTCGAGTTTTGGTATGAGAGCTGTTTTTCGAGGTTTGGTGTGAGAGAGTTGTTATTCGAGGTTTTGTGTGAGAGAGCATCTATTCGAGGTTTGGTGTGAGAGAGCATCTATTCGAGGTTTGGTGTGAGAGAGCTGTTATTCGAGGTTTGGTGTAAGGGCTGTTATTCGAGGTTTGATGTGAGAGAGTTGTTGTTCGAGGTTTGATGTGAGAGAGTTGTTGTTCGAGGTTTGATGTGAGAGAGCTGTTATTCGAGGTTTGGTGTGAGAGAGCATCTATTCGAGGTTTGGTGTAAGGGCTGTTATTCGAGGTTTGATGTGAGAGAGTTGTTGTTCGAGGTTTGATGTGAGAGAGTTGTTGTTCGAGGTTTGATGTGAGAGAGCTGTTATTCGAGGTTTGGTGTGAGAGAGCATCTATTCGAGGTTTGGTGTAAGGGCTGTTATTCGAGGTTTGATGTGAGAGAGTTGTTGTTCGAGGTTTGATGTGAGAGAGCTGTTGTTCGAGGTTTGGTGTGAGAGAGTTGTTGTTCGAGGTTTGATGTGAGAGAGCTGTTGTTCGAGGTTTGATGTGAGAGAGCTGTTGTTCGAGGTTTGATGTGAGAGAGCTGTAACTTTGAAGCTTACATTTAGAGGGTTTTATCTCTTGGTTTACAGTTAATGGAGAGCTATATTTCACGGATTTTCAGCTGCGGATTTGTTACCCATGACGTATAAAGGGTACGTCTGGTTCTTCCTGTTCTTCCTCTATATTTACTTGTCAGTAATGAATTCCGTACCTCTCTAATGAGCCTGTCCGATGCAGGAGGCCATGTTTATACTGCAGCGCCATCTGCACATATGATATATATACCCTCTCGCACTACACACCAACTGAGTGGCTAGTGATTGTAGATGATCATCTCTATCCAAACTAACAACAGATCATTAACATCAACACAGTCGGACATACATGTTTAGCTAATCAGAATGGTTTAAGTATGCTGGTGGTTCCAATAGACATGATGCTCTCAACGTAGTTATTGTCAGATACTGACACCGTGTATCGTTTTTCTGATCCTGTCCAGAACATACTTATATTGATATATGACCACGTGGGCCATACTTCATCATCTTTGGCTATGAAATCGATTTTATCACAAATGGCATCGTTAACTAACAATTGTTTTTTTTTTTTTTTAGATTTACCAAACCGTTGACTCTTAGATAGATGATTTTACTAGAAAGTAGATGATTAGATGACACATTAAAACGTCGATGATTCGATGATTGAATAGATAATCAGTGGCTAGACAGCTTATTTAAAAGTCCATATTTAGTTAATTCATTCCATGATTTAAAAAAAAAAGATATATCATTTAATGACTGTCTTTCAGCTCGATTAGTAACTACAAATCAATAAAGTATTGACTATAAACTTTAAAATCGATTATTAAATGTCAATGGTGCAGGAAGATGTAAATTTTCTATGAAATCAGTGAGAAATGAGTGATCACTATAAACAATGATCTCTTTCATCACCGACTATGATGTCATTGATTACTATTTATTAATGAGATTGTGTTTCCTGTAGCCGACATTTTAAGTCTACGAAATGCTGAAGATTCGATTACTTTTAGAGCGAAAAAATATTACTTACTTAACAGGCGATGATAAAGTGTAAGGCCGACGATTTACTGAAAAATCAATGATTTTTTGATAATTTGGAGGATAAAACACATTGTGTAGTGAAGTCGAAAATTTATTGGAATAAGAATGGTATCATGTACTCATAAATGTCATAACAACAACAACAACAACAACAACAACAACAACAACAACAACAACAACAACAACAAGAGCTAAGAGATTTGAATGGAAAATTCTGTTCACAATCTACATTTAAAAGAGTTTCCAATACATTGCCAGATTTTAATGTTTTAGACATTGTAAAAATCATTTGGA